ATCTTCCCTCTCCTCCTCCTTTCGTCTCTCTCCTCTCTCCTTTCGTCCGTGGATGATCTCAGTCCCTGGCCTTCGTCTATGTCTGAGGCCAGGGCCTTCACACCCCTGCGCCATACTTATGACTGTGTTTCACGAGTATGCAAAACAACCCCTCCCCCACCAATCAATCAATCAAAGAAATTGCACTTCAGGCAAAAGGCCTGGAAATGTTGAATGTATACAACCTAGGTTTCGGGTTCCGTAGGGTCTAGTGGAGGTTTGTTATGTTCAGGTGAATGCCCGCAGTGCATTTTGCAAACTGTTTTGGTGACTGCACCATAGCTTCTCCTTCACCAACGACCGTAACTCAGTTGAAATCCCCGTGAACTGTTGAAATATGGATCAGACCCAAGTTCCAATCCAGATACAACAAGTCGACCAGAACAGTTACCTTTTTTTTTTTTTTTTTTTTTAAGTCCAGCCTGTCCAGGTTGTCCTAGAGGTTGGATGCTTGCTACCTCTTCTTCTACCAGTAAGGGCCTGGTTGCACTACTCTCCATACGCCAAGTGTGGAGAGTCTGTGCCTTGTTGCACTTACTGGCCAAACTTGGGGAATGAAAAATAATATGTCAGAATGTTRGCCACAACGTCAACAGACTCAACACAAGTTGTGGCGAGTGTTTTTGGTTTCCCACCCTGTGCACAGCGGTTTGTGGAGGGTGGTGGTCCTCGGACCTCTCCACGAAACCACTTTCTTTCTGGAGAGTGCACTGCTTCACGAGTAGAGATCAGGCAGACAAAAATTTTTAACTTTTCTGTAGAAGACATATTGTGGCAGTCTGGCGACACTGGCCAGTAAGTGCAACCAGGACTCCAGTTCGACACTATTCTCATTTTTTTCACTCTCCAGAGTCTCCACCCATCCGCCACGAATTGTGCCTGATGGAGAGTAGTGCAACACTGCAACTGGGCCCTCTGGCAAGAAATTTAGTGAATTACAGTAAAATTAAAATAAAAAAAAAACCTTCTCCACGTTATGGAAGGAGAGGAGTTAACCATCTTGCCGCATGGCACACGAAACGAAAACGAAACGAGTGCATCTGCCCACGAAAGGTGGCAAAATACACTCATTACTATTCATAGCAAACGGATGAACCTGGCCATTTTCTGCAGGAAGATGCACTCGTTTCGCTTTCCGTTTCGTGTCCCGTGCGACGCCCCATGTCGGGTTTTTTGACAGACACACAATTCTCTCATCAGAATGACTGCTCCTGTGACAGGGACACAATTTGCTTCATCAGAATGATTGCTCCCGTGACAGGGACACAATTTGAAGGCTGATTATGCCATTAGCTGTCTCAGCCTGTCTGTCTGTCTGTCGGTATTGCAAAGAAAAGGCAAAAGAAGCACCTAGTCCACGGTATCGACCAAATAAATGCTCTCCAATTCTGGAGGACAGAGTAATGATGGCGTCTAACCCTTCCAACAAGAAAAAACAGAAAACGAAAAAAAAAAAGGGAAAATTTGTCTGGCACCCCTGTATTTTCCATTTATTTGCGTCGCGCCCCTCCGACATGCCGTGCCCCTGGGCCTGGAAATCTTTCTGGCAGGCCCCCGTCGGTAGTGGCACAACTTTCCATGACGCCCTCCCTCAACCGGCGGTCCCATTCCATTGGGCTATGTGCCATATGCCCTCGTAAGAAGCACCCGTCTTCCTGTGATACCCCTGCAGCAGTCTGGCGCTGGAAATTTGAATTCAATTTCGAACAGCGTTCGTGTTGACGCGCCGCCGCCGTTTTTCTTGACGCGCTCATGAAGGCCAACCTCCTGTCGTCTTCGTTTTCGCTGGCCCTCTACCATCGCAAGGTGAGTGTCATCTTTTCTGTTTTGTTTTCTTCATTAATACTACTATTGCCGTCTACAGCTGTGAGCTCTATGTTTCCTTCTTCCTCTTCTTCTTCTCTTCTTCTTCTTCTTTTCTTCTTCTTGTCGTTGTTCTTCTTCTTCTTCTTTGTGCGCATTATAAGCATATAAACTATGCGTGTGAAAAAATTTTGAAAGTTTTATTTTTCTGATAAATGGATGCGTAGCGATTAGCCTCGTTAATTCAATTCAATTCAATTCTTCTTCTTCTTCTTCTTCTTCTTCTTCTTCTTCTTTTCTTCTTCTTCACTTCCCGCACTACCACTGCCACGACAACTACTGCGGCTGTCACCGTTACCACTACCACTACCACTTTTTTTCCTTAATAGTAAAACTTCTTTTTCCTCTTTTTTCTCTGGGTCCTGATGTGATCCAACATGCTTTTGCATTCTCCCATTCTTTGTCCTTTCCCCTTTCTTTTCCCTCCTTTTGCCTTTCCTTTTTTAAAAAACAATAACTAAATCCAATCCTCCACAAACACTTTCCCTTTCCTTCGATGAGCCTGTCGCCCTGTTCCCCCTTTGTTTTCCCTCCGTTCTCCCTCTATTCTCCCTCCATTCTCCCTCCATTCCCCCTTTATTCTAACTGCTTTCTCTCTGCTCTCTCTCTCTCTCTCTCTCTCTCTCTCTCTCTCTCTCTCTCACACACACACACACACACACACACACACACACACACACACCCTTGTCCTCCTCCTCCTCCTCCTTCTCCCCCGCAACTACGCCTCTTCTTGTCTTCAGGATCGACGGCCAAGATGGACGACACATCAACAACACTTTTACTCCTTCCGATCTCCAAACGACAGCAAGGAGAGATTCTTCTGCGAAACATTCTGAATTATGATGTTTGAGAGAGATGTAGCAACCCCATTCTGAATTATGATGTTTGTGTGTGTGTGTGTGTGTGTGTGTGTGTG